AAAAAAAAAAAAAAAAAAAAATTTCAGACTTTTAAAGCAAAAATTTTGTCTTCATTGCCACCCAAACACCCTAGTAGCCTTGGTATGTTCTTCCAGACACATTAGTCTATGTGTTTTTGTTCAAAATATTATCTAAAATTAAATATTAAAAAAATGTATAATTTAACTAATTGGGAGCTTTTTATGCTTATTGTTTTGTATGTTGCTTTTTCTCATTCACTAGCATTTCACAGGTCTTCTCATATTTATAACACATATGAAGGTACCTCCAAAAAAGTCACAGAAAGATTCGTATTACCTTTTAATTCCATTTTTCCACTAACTTTTTGAAGTACCCTCATAGATCTAGTTCATTGTTTTTCACATGTGATGCTGCAGCACTGTATCAATGTAATGTTCTTTATTTAGCCAGTCCCTAATTGGTAGACATTCATGTTGTTAGGCTTTCTACTCTGAAACAAACATCGTTGTATATACATCTATGCACACACTTGAGTTTATCTGTAGGATAAATCCTAGCAGCAGAATTTGAGTCATACAATACGTGTATTTTTAATTATGAGTAATCTTGCCAAAATACCATCCAAACAAGTTATACCAATAAGCACCTAACAGCTGGGATACTCCCTATCTGGGTGACACATATACGTGAGTTTTAGCAATACAGGCAATCCTGAACTTATATGTCTCTGCCTTACATTTACCCTTCTTTATCCTCCCTTGAAATCTCCCATCCCCAACCTGAGGTTATTCTCCTGCTGTCACAATTGGGTACAACCCCCCAATATCTCTGTAAGCAAAAACTGAATCCCTTAACTTCTTCCCATCTCTGTTCTGCCTACCCGCAAATCCCATACTTTTAGCCCTGATCACCACATAAAAACATCTTTTCTCTCCCTTAGGTCTTCTCCCCTGCTCCCCACAGCCAAAGGGGTCACCATGAGCCTACGCCCAACCTCCGCCTCAGGCACAGGAAGTGCAAGTCCATGGTGGACTGGGGGGTGCGAGTGGATGGGAGACGCTGCCTCACCTCTCACCCTCCATTGCTCCCTGGCCAGAACTCAGAATGGGGGTCTACGGTTTCATCACCACGCAATTCAGGCTGACTTTGGTGGGCTTGTGGTAAATGCAGCCATCCTGGAGAACAGTATTTTTATAGGGGAATGTGTTCCAAATCCCAAATAGCTAGCTCAAACTTCTGCAACCAATCTACTGGTAGTCTAGAGAGGGCACAAGGCCGGAGCAGATGGGAGCCAATAAAAAGGCAAATACCACCCACATTCCCTGACTCTCCATTTTCCTTTATCACAATTATTTACCTTTCTATTTTTGTCTTATTTTTATGCAGCTGCTAGATTCCAAAATACTAACAAGATACATTCTTAAGTTTTGAGAGCATATTTAAAAGGTGAAAATTCACAACTATTTTAAAAGCCAGTTGTCACAAAAAAGGAGAGTTTTACTTATCATTGTATTAATGCTTTTGTGTGGCGTAAATTTCAAAAGAAAATATTATAACAAACATTACTGCTTAAGGCCTACTTTACATTTTTTTAAAGCATAATATACGCAATTTTCAGGACATCATATATATAAAACATTAAAAAAAAGTGTCGTTTAACACATAAAGCAAATCTTACTGGCTTGACTGCCTCATGTTTAATTGGCATTTATTTACTAACTACTCTTAAATACTTGTATGATTTATTGGGGAAAATGCCCAGGACTGAAGTTGGCAAGATTTAGGTACTATACTCTGTCCCCTCAGGATCGAGCCTTAAAAAGAGCTCAAACAAGTCCTGGGCTTCAGTTTCCTCATTTGTAAAATAAGAGGTGTGGTTTCCTCTTGTTATCAAAGGATTTTGAAATTTGCTTTCATACTATCTATGAGGAAAGAGGGAACAAATTAATGGGGTTCAAGTAGGTTCATAAACCTACTTATGAGGACAGGAAAGTAAGGATATTTAAATATCATTTACACATAGAAGCAAATATTTAATTGACTAAGGTTGGGTCATCCACTGGGAAAAGCTTGGTAACCAGATTTTGGCATAGGAGGTCAAGTTTTCTTAACAGTTGAGGGCTAAACCTCAGACTAGAAGCAGCACTTCAAATTGCTTTCTGATGGAAAGTTTCCTACAATAGCTAACTGTCATATACTCTTCTACCTTTTCATCATATTGAATTATGTTAATGTTTTAACCGAGGAGAGCACACATCCCCCACCACTCTGGCTCACCAGACTGACATGTATCACCAAGACTGCAAACCACTACTGACATATCAACGTTTTCCTCGGTCTTTCCTTTCCAAATCACATATACATATTCATTTATTTGGTTAAACTTTTTTTGGCTTTTTCCTCAGACGTCATTACTATGTCAGACACACTCTTCTCCACTTATTTTTATATCTCCTATATTTGCCACCTGTAACTTCTCCTGTGGTTCTTAGTTTTCACAAAATGGCTTTCATAGATCTTGCCATTTAACCAGAAAATGATTTTTCTTTCGTGTATATGAATTTCATTATATAATATTCTCTTTAGAAGTGTCCTGGGGTTGGTTTCTAATCACCAGCATTTTTATCTGGTATTATATTTTAGATATCAAGGCTACGTCTACACCTGGCAGCCTTCTGGAAGTCTACGGGTCAATAAAGGCATAAAGCATACATGGAACACAGCTTTTTTCACTTAGAGTTTCACTGTACGTTATTGCTCATTTCTTTAAAGATATTCTTTACGAAATAAAAATGACTAAAAAGCCAAATAGTTTTTAAAAAACACAACTAACCAAATGGTTCATTCTCACTAGCAATCAAAGAAATGTAAATTAAATCAGAAGATAAAATCACATATGACATTGGAAAAATCAGATTCATTATACTGAATGTTGGTAAGGCTGTGAGAAAAGAGGCCCTTCCACAGGCTGTTGCCATGAGTATAAACTGTTACAGCCTATCTGAGAGTATGTGGATTAATTCAAAAGTGTGCTAACCTTTACACCAGGAATTTAAAAAAAAAAAAAAAAAAAAAACATTTTTTAAAATTTTTATTTATTTTTTATAAGCTCCTGCACAGCAAGGGAGGCTTTTAAACTTTGTTTATTATGGTCGCTGGCCAGTATGGGGATCTGAACCCATGACCTTGGCATTTCAAGACTGAGTTCTAACCAGCTGAGCCACCCAGCCAACCCAGGAATTTTATTTCTAGGAATTTTTCTTAAAAAAACCAAAAAACAAAAATCACATAGAAACATACACACACTGTATTATATAGCATACTATTTATAATAAGATCAGAGACTATTTAAAATTTCCATCGGTGAGGATTAATTCAATACCTATAATGGAATATTAAGTTGTTAAAAAGAATAAAATTGATGTATCTTTATTGACAGGGAGAGATACTCAAAAGGGACTAAATTTTTAAAACCCAGAGTAGAGAATAGCAGTTACAGTGTGTTTTTTGATGATACCCTAAAAGTACAAGAGATACTCAAAACTGTTAAAAGTTGTTTTGTGGAAGATGAGAATATCGGGGGACTTACACATTCTACAATTTAATTAATTTTTTTTCAAGAATCTACTACTTTTAAAACAAAAAATATTTTTAAAAAAATCAAACCATTTTCAGTGGTGATTTCCAGAGAGATAAAAGCATTGGGAAAAGGAGACTCAAACACAGCTGATGGGCAAACCACAGCAGCCTTTCTGGAGGGTCATCTTGGTGAACCTGAATCAGAAGTCTTGAGGTGCATGTAGCAATTTCACTTTCAGAAATTCATCATAAGGAAATAATCACGGACATGAACAAAAGAAAGAATGCTTAGCACAGCTTTTCGTATCATGGGGGAAAAACTGGAAAGCAACAAAAATGTCGAATGATAGAGTGGCAGTTGGTTAAATAAAATCAATAATGAACTAGTCATGTGAAGCTTCATAGACAGCTGTTAATTGCATTTTAGAAAAGTATTCAATGGCAAGGGAAAAGCCCACTATGCATCATAAAAGTACAATATCAGGTCACAAAACAATATGTGCATTATGATCTCAATTGCGTTAATACACATACATCACAGAAAATAAAAGACTATAAAATATAGATCAAAATTTTTTAGTTTAATTATAGATAGTGAATTATAGGGGACTGCCTTCATGTCCTTTGTGCTTTCAAATTTTGTATGTGTTTTTCATCAAAATAAATTTTCACTAATTCTGACCTATGTTTTCCTTAATTACTGAAAAATTGACAAGATTTTACAAAACAGGCTTTTATTATGTTGTTATACTACCCTCAAAAGAAAAAGAAATATCTTGCGAAATTCACATAAACCTTTGCCTTTGAAATATAAGTGTTACAAATTTCAATCTGAAAGGTCAAAGTTTTAGTTCAACTTGATTATTGAGGCACATTTAACTGAAGTCAGAGATAACACACCTGAAAACAGTTACTGAATCTGAGAGGGAGCCAACAGCAACATCAGGGTAGGAATTTCGATCAAGGTCCATATTTCCAGCAATTGAATATCCAAAATAAGGTGATGTACCCTCGAGAACCTGAAATAAACAGGGCATCAGAACTGGATACTGAGCCACCAAAATGAGGTCCTTAGCTATGCTTTGAAAAAGACACACAAGTTTCTTTTGAGCTGAAGTTTAAAAGTTCAGTCGTAAATAAATGATATTAAATAATAAGTAATTTAAATATACATTTGATCTAATACTTCATACATTTTATTTCATAAAAGTCATCTGATTTACATAATATCTCAAAGAATGAGAGCCATTTTTTTTTTTTTTCCTTTTTGTCTTTTTTCGTGTCCAGCAACGGATCGCAACCCTCAGTGTCGCGCCC